ACATAATTTATAGAAAATTGATTTAATTTCGCATGCATAATAATAATTCAATATTTATTATTTAAGGCTTTCTCACTCCATATATAGATTTATTGTCTCTCTCCACTCTTTTATGAAAATCTTAATGTTGTAAGTGAATTGTAAAACCTTGTGAACTAACTCCACCGTCGTGTTGACTACATCACCTTGTAAATTATTTATATTTTGTATTTCATTTACATCCAATCTAGATTGAAATCGTTGAGTGAAATTGTCAACTAACTTTTTTTCTGAACAAAATAAGTGACATATAGTGAGAAGTTGTAGAGTGACGATTATGTAAATGGATGAATTATTTTTTGTAAGTCTTGGATGAGTCTTGTACAATTCTTCAGGTTTCTTGTTGTATAAGTTGTGTTGCTTTTTATTGTTTTATCATCGTCTATTGAATTTGATAAATTACATCATCAATTAATATTTAGCTTTATGAGGTCAATTAGATATATAAAATTAAAGGATGAATTATTAAAATTCATATAAATATATCTTGTGGTTATAATTTAGATTTAAAAATTAATGATAATCAATTAGACAAGAAAAATATTAAGAATTAGTGATTGAATTATAATAGATTCCAAAATAAAATAAAATCCCTAAAATATAACTTTTTACTACAGTTGTCCAACCTAACAACCTAACCTAGTCCTACGGGTTCAATAAAAAAAATTGATGGTCTAATCTTATTTCTATTTTAAAATTGATAAAATAAATTTAACATAATCTGGTTCTATATTAGGCCAACAGGCTAACGGGTTAAAATTGGCCTGATTGATATTTTTTTAAATATTAACATATCTATAATAAATTAATTAATTAAAAAATATTTAAATAAAAATAAAATATATTTAAAATTTTAAATTTTATTAATGAAATTAGTTTTTATTTAAAATATAATGACTCAATATAAATTATAAGAGAATGCATCTATTTAATCTTAAAATAAAAAATAAAAACTTACTTATTATTATTTATTTTTTAGTAATTTATTAATATAAAATAATAATTAGTCTTAATCATTACATCTTAAAATAAGTGATGATTAGAGAATTATTATGATATTTACTTTTAAAATAAGTGAATGTCTTGTAAAATTAATTTATCATACATATGTATTTTTAATAAAATAATATTACTTTTATTTTATTTAAAAATAATTATTTTTTATAAAATAGGTCAACCATGAGCCTACGAGCTAATCTAACTTAATGTAGGTTATGGCCTAAATAGACTGAGCCAAAATAAGTCTGATTCAATTTATGGCACAATTTTTTTTGCCTAATTTAGTCTATTTCTCGAGTCGATCGATCGGATTAAGTCTATTTTGACACTTATATTCTTTGTTACTAAAATTTGAATTTAGAATAAGTCATTAAAACTTGTAAAGAGTACAGTTTATATTTTCTCTTAATTATTACATGAGACAAAACATGATTTTAGTCATTTAATGTTATTTTAGGTTTTAAATTCAACAAAAGAGTTAGGTAATGTTTTTGTTCATATTTTTTATTTTGTTAAAAACTTTATATTGTAAAAAGAATTCAACATTACATTCAATAAGGATATATTCACTCAAGAATTTAATGTTTTTAAAATTTTCTTTTGTTTTAGTTTGTTACTAGCCAATTTTTATTATTGTTTTCTAATTTGCTCAACAAATTTGTTGTAACTTAACGATGTGTTTTTTTTTTTGTCAATTTTAGTTTTTCTCTATTTACCTATTAAGTTTCTGGTTGAATACTTAGGTTTTATATTGATAAATCTTTAAAATTTGATTTAATTATAAAAAAAATTCATAAATGAAAAAATAAAAAAAAGTTAGAATTTGTATCCATTGATTCCACTTATAAACTAGAAAATATAAGTATTAAAATATTACAAAAGTTGGTTATACTAAATGTAACTTACTATAATTTGTACATCCAATATGATGATGTGTTTCTTTTACTTAAGACTAGATCAATACATTTGTTGTCTTAGATTTTGTGGGCTTGCTGGTGAAGATTCTCATAAACATTTTTAAAAGAATTTCATCTTGTTTGTTCTACTATAAGACTTATAAAGATTAAAACATTTTCATTCTCATTACATGAAGGGACTAAGGATTGGGATAATTTGAAGAAGTTTTTTTTTTTCTGGATATGAAGGTACTTCTATAAGAAAATAAATTTGTGGCTTTAGGAAACATGATAGAAAAAGTTTGTTTAAATATTAATAGTGTTTTAAAAGATTATGTGCAAGTTTCATTACCCACCAAATTAGTGTAAAAGTCCTCATGTAACATTTTTATGAAGGTTTACCCAGTGGTCAAATAATATATTATTAATAAATAATAAATAAAATAAAAAGATAAAAGAAACATGAAAAAGTAAATATATTTAGTGATTATTAAATTTAAGGGATCCAAAATCATAAATACATATACAAAACTTTGAAGAAAGAGGGATTATAAGCCCCTTAACTTCCAAGAAGATCCGTCATTAGGTCTAACTGTCATTGATAAAAATATGATTAATATTACAAGTGTTGAAATTCGTGTAAATAAAACTAGTACCTCATAAGACAATTTGATAGAATACATTACCATTGATTAACAATAATTTTCTTTTAGCGGCAACACAATTTTTAAGAGTATGTTTTAAGTCTAAACTTATTATTCTAAGGAATATTAATATTTGGGAACAAAATTGATAACGTAGCCAACATATTTAAGTAACTAGCACAAGAACAAACACACTCTAAAAACACAACTAGGTCTAGAATGGATGGCAAGGGGTTGAAATAATACTTAAAAAAAAAATTGCAATGAGTATCAGTTACCTCTTAAAGTCGTGTGATAGTATTAAAAGACTGGATGATAACATATTGTCTAACAATACAATTTCACTAGACGACCTAAAGATTGTTTTAAGATAAGAAAAATTTCTGTAGTAATTTTGCAATAGTTTAAAAATGTTCTTTTGAAAACATATAGACAGTTAATAAGATGTATAACCAGTAGATAAAGACACGTTTTGTTATAATAGTTCATCCCAATCAAGGGTTACTTTCAATATCTTTAAGTTCTTGAAGGGTTTTAATAAACATGAAATAGGGAAAATAGGGGTAGGTTTTGTCTCCTCAAACCTAGTCCCCAACTTCCTTAATTATGCATGCCCTTGAACCTTATTAGAGTTAGAAATTTAGTCCCTGGCCCACTCGTGTTGGATTCTAGGTTTCTCCTCCCTCACTTCGTCCTATTTTATTTATAAATAAATTATGATAAAATAATTTTGATGTTATTTTTTTTCTTATATGTGTTGTTTCTTATACATAAATAACTATTTAATTTTACAACTTTTAAATTTTTTTATTGATTATGTATAAATTTTAATATATTATTTTTATATTAAAATATTCTTAAGTTTATTGGGGAATTTACTCATGGTCCTATGTTTTGGTTTATGTTGTTGAAGGCTAAATACCTTAAGAATAATAAAGGGGTGATTGTTCAATATAGATCTTCATCTTTATGGCCTGACATTATTAGCATGTATTGGATTATTGGATCTAGTTAAATTTTTGGATGGATAAATGGTGTTTGGACAAGTCTTTGGTGCAGATGTTTGGACAGGGCGTAAATAAACTGTAAATTGAAATGTTCAGAGCATGTCCATTGTTTTTTATGTATCTAATGTAATTAGATACATAGGACTAGTAAAGTTAATTATTAAACCAACGATTAATATCGTATGTACATAAAAAAAATTAGCACTATATCACTCAAAGTCATGTAACATTTCGAATAGACAATTTGATGACAGATCAAAATCATTTAGTTTTAAAAAATTAGAAGGCCATATATGCCATTAAAATTTCATAAAGACCAAAACTACATATTTGTATAGATACCAAAATAAAATTAAAAAAAGGTTTGCCTTAACCAAAGTACCTTAAGTGCTTTAAATATAGTAATGAATGCATCTCCTATGTTTAAAGAGTCACTAGGAGAATGAAACTTCTGAAACATCAATTCAACCATATGTTACTTATACAACCCTACCATCACGATTTCTCAGAATCCCTGCAGAAACATCCTCCATAACTCATTGTGGACAGAATTAAATTGCTTCATTAATTTGTCTCATTTACTTCTCCAATCCTTTCATTTTGCCGGACTTATTAAGAGTTTGAATATTGCAATAAGACAATTTTTTTACTAATTACAGTACAATACTCAATTATACATAATACAAGCCAAGATTTCCCCTCGAAACAGCCAACCATCTAATGAGTATTACTCCACAATGGTACATCGATTATTCACAAACAACTACAACATAGTGCTATTCTAACAAATGGGAACCACTCAAATAGGTCAGACATCACTAGTCTTAGTCAGATTTTAGTTTGGTCTAATATGCACGTTCAATTGCTGCCCCCAATGACATGAGTGCACCAGGACAAAAGGTAATTATTGTAAATATAGTAGCGACAACAAAGGAGCACTTCTCTAATAGTAATTCAAGATTCAATACCCCAAATTAAAGACAAATTAGTCCTTGCCAATGAAAATGACTATCATCTCCCAGCCATTAGAAATTAGTTTAAAATTTGAGAACCTGGAATGTGAAAAAAAATGGTATGGAGCTCACTCTGTTGCTAAGTTCTTTCATTGTCGTCATGTTGAACTTGAAGTGAACAAAATTTTTCATCCGAATATATACACAACACATTATAATGACAATCATGTAGAGTTTAGTTCTCATCATCACTAGTTAAAGTAAAAATAATATAGATACAAATTGAGATGAGAAGCTAAACAATACATCAACAACATATTTACACATATTTGCCTGAACCTTTTGTTGGGCAAACCCCTATAACTCAACGCAAGGGATTTAGCTCCCACAAGCATAGAATAAAGACACTTGAACTAAGAATCATTCAGCATAACTCAGCCCTTGGTTACGAGTCCATGAGATTTAGCTCCCACCTGCATCCACTGAAAAACCTCATACTCACATTTGTTTTTCATCAAGATGAAACTGACAAGGTACACCATAGTGAGAATAACAGAAAAATGTTCATGCGCAACACACCCCATAGTCCACATAATATAATAGACAAAGGATGCTTCTACTTAAACTATTTAAAATAAAGTTCAAAAACAATTATGGGCATGCTTGGAGAGCAGTGGGGACTTCTAGAAGGGAAAAATTAGAAGAAAAATGAATTTGATTTTTCAATAAGTTAAAATTAACTTATGCATATGTTAAACTTTTTTGGAGAAGTTATGAGTAAGATTCTACAAATTAGCTGTGCATTAAGTTAATTTCATTTTTCTCCTAAAAGTCCTTTAAGAGAAGTCCAAACAGACCCGACAAACTATTATCTATTTGAAAAGCATATCCAAATTTATGCAAACGTTATTATAGTTAGACAAAAACATATCCAAGTTTATAAAAAATAACAATAATTACTACAACAAATAATATCTTACCTTGGATTTCACTTGAGTGAGAAGTCAGATCAGGTATACTAGAGACTTTCTGAGACATGGGTGTAAGCGGAGGTGATGGAGTTTTATCAACCTTTGAAACTTGGGGACTATCCAAATACTTTGTATTAGAAACATTTAATGTCATTGCTCTCTGACCACTGGAAGGTATAGAAAAACTCCGAGAGACTATAGGGGGAGTTGGGAGTGGAGATGCTACACTGGATATAACTGAAGGAAATTTACTAGTCACAACAACCTCTGGATTTTTAAATACTAATGGGGCAGAGTGACCCACTCGAGAAGATTTCACTGGCTTACTACCAGGAGGTCTCGGAAGTTCATGAAGCTCACTTATCCTGGGTGAAGAAACAAGGGGAGGTGAAGCATTAGGAGATGCTTTTGGAGATGAAGGCTGTGGCACAGGTAAACGTGGAAAACCCCCAGAAATAGGTTTTACTGGCAATGGTTTATTAGTCAATGGACCAGAAAAAGTTTTTATCTTTATTTTCTTAGTATCAGAAGCATTGAAAAGATCAACTTGTGGAAGTGAGAGTCCATCTGTTGAAGGGCGTGGTAACTGGGTGGATGTTGTATCACTGTTACTTTCTTTGAGAATAGAATGAGCTCTATGGATAGTCGGTTCTAACAATTTACTATCAACATCTTTCTCATTCTTTTTTTCATCCAGAGGGGAAGTCCACAAATTATGCAAAGATCCACTTGCACTGGTGCGGGGGGCAGAGTTATTTTTGGTTTCTTTGATGTTAACTGGTGTAGGAAGAACATATGCATTAGACTTTGCTGTTGATGATGCTAGAAGTTGTCTTACTTTTTCAGCAGGGTCAAATTTCTTTTCTGCAAGTATTGGAGCTGAATAACTGTTGAATCTATTTGAAACTTTAAAATCTCCTTGGCTCTTGTCTAGACTTGTCTGCCAGAATGCAAGCTAATAGAAGTATTAGAGGATAATATAAGTTAAATTAAAGAATCAATCTGAATGACCTTAAAAGTAGGTCTTAAATGAAAGCTTTACTGCTTTATCCTAATCAATATTTCTACGAACAAAACATTAGAAACATAGTACATAATTAAAATTAATTTGAAATCTTTGTTCCGGGTGCTAATTGGCCTAGACCTTTCTTTAGATTAATTTAAGATTTAAATCAAAGCTTCAATTGAATATGTCATGGGTAGTAATGAAAAGCACCTCTGCAGTTTCTGGGGTTGAAGATCGTACATAAGAGCGACCTGACTCTTCCACCTAGCAATACATGGCCCACAATTATGATAAGATGAATTTTTAATTCAGATTACGAAAAAAATAATGATATTATGTTTTTGATTTGTAACAAGGAATAGATGGTAGACAGAAACAAGTATAAAATGACAACTGTTACAAGCTTTGGCAATATTTTAAATAAAAAGATAAATAAGCAATAAGCAGTATGCACTAAGGCTTTAAAACCATTCAAGTTTTGAGTAATGTAAAATTCCTACCTCTGCTGAGTTTGGTGATGTGGAAACAATATATGGCCCTTGCTTATTTGATCTGTAGTCAAAACTCAGCTCACCACCTTCAACAACGTCAAAATCATTACTGTCATCATTATTACCATCTTCACCAACATCATCCTCAAGGCCACTGAATTGGTAATCAATATGTTGTCGTTCAGCAACCATCCTGACATGTGGCTCAACTGCCTCTAGTGATTTAAGTCCTTTCCGAAAGAAATTCAACTATATTGAAAGCAGAACAAGAAGAAAGATGCATCAAGACTATGCTGAAGAAAGGATAAAACATTTGAATGAAATGTCATAGTTCAAGAAAACCTGAGCAGCATGGTGACGTGCTGCTTGTGTTAGGAGACTGCGTGACTGGCCTTGCTTCAGTGATTTCAACCGAAAGGCACACAGTGTTGCTTCTTCTTCATAATCATCGTGAGCTGCTTGCAACTGCTGTAAGGTGATACTTTCACCTTTACCACTTTTTGACTTTCCTTTCTCTTTCTGTTGGGCAATCATGTATTCATAAACTTCTCTGGAGGCAACACAACAGATTCAGGAAATATCACATAATAATGAGAAAGAAAATAGATGTTGTGTAAATATAAACCTTTTTTCGTCACATTGTCGCTTCATGTCCTGCATGAGGAGGAATAGATTGGCATTGAGATGTAACAACTAACAAGATAATTTACAGTTCTACATTAAATATTTTATACAGCAACAAAGTCACTATAGTTCCAAATTTATTTACCACTGTTCTTTCTAGACAAGGCAATCTAGATAGAGTTAAAAAGCATCAAAGTGAACATAGTTTTTTAAATCCCAGACTTGAGATTTTGTAAAAAAAGAAGAAGATCATAAGTACAGTGCAATCAGGCTAAAATAAGAGAAGGCATAAAACTGAACAATACAGCTTTTTCCTTCCCCTTTACATTTTGCAATACTTCTACAATTCTGCACCTTACACAGTTCAGCCCCAGTCCCCATTATTAACAAGCCTCATGTACAATATCTATCAAATCATCCACTAATGACTAGTCAACTTCAAAATCAGGAAATCTATAACTTGCTGTATTTTCATCTGAAAGAGTCAGAAACATAAGCTTATTTTTGTTTGTATACATTTTCTAAACATAAGCTTATGATTCTCCGCAGTCAGCTGTTGATAACACTGTCATAAACCAGTTAAGATATAAAACCCTGTCCATTTCACTAAGCTTCAATAATCACATCCCCTAAGTTTTTCACAAATTTGTCTTTGATCCTTGTATTCACCAATTGACTAATTCGGGCTTCCAACTTTTGAAATTTCATCCTTTTATATACCCAAATTTAACATTTAGTTATGATTTTTCATTTGATCAGTTGATAAAAGTACTAAATGTGATTTTAATAGTTCTTTATACATAAATTTGATATTTAGTTACTATCATAAAGTTGATTAAAGAACGAAATTCTTTTTTTTTTTTTTAATGTTTAAGGACTAATTAGTTAAGTTTTAAAATACAGGAACTGAAACCAATTTTCACAAAAAGTACAAAGAATAAAAAGATATTTAACCCTTTATAAAATCTTAGATGCTTAATAAGTTGATTTAACAAGTTCATGAACTGTGAAATGTAACAAGATTTCCTGAAAGCATGGAATATAAAAATAACATCAGGAGAATCACACCACAAACGCTAGCCACTGAAGTTAGAAAGTTGGAGAGCCCAAAACCTCATAACCAACACCCTAAATCCCATACTTCCAATGAGGGACAATTTCTCATCCTTTGCAATAGATCCTAACATCTTACAAGCAGATATATGTGAATTTTTTAGTTAAACCTAAAGCTTTGTGCAAATCCTTTTATCTATAGCAGCTTTAAAACAAACTATTAGATTTAGAGGAACATTTTTTACAGTTTTTCCACAACAATATTTAGCAGCATGCACAAACTAACAGCTTTTCAAAACATCAGTGAATCCACAAACTCAATGTGAAGATAGCTTAAATGTGTTATATGTTGATGTATGGGTGTGAGAACAAGAAACAACAGATCTACACAAAAACCAACCAATGGATGTATCTCTAATGACACTGGCTTTGTGCTATAAGGTAACAATCAATAATCCACAAGGGGATCTCAGTTAGTGAAAAAGGTATTATTGCAACAATTTCAAAAGTTACGCAGTTTAAGAAGGTATACTAATATACCTCATGAGATTTCCTTCATAATAGATTATTCATTAAACAAGAAAAAGGAGATCACAACAAAAATCATAATGCGGTTTCAGCATCAGATATAACTATGTGTGTGATAGGACAATTATGCAAAGTCTCTTTAGGTAGTCACAAATGAAATACTACCCTCTGTTTTAAAGGAAAAACAAAGTTGAAATTTGAATTGAAGACAAAATGGAAGGAAAGAAAAAATTGATTTTTTTTTTCTAAGTTTTTTCCGTTTATTTTCCTTCAACAAGCAAACAATGTATATTATCTGTATTTTCTCTCCTCTCATCTTGATGCACCATTAGTGTTGGCGTACAATTTGCATCTTTAACCAGCAATTTAGGCACCAAGCATTTATTGGTCAGTGTGATAGTTGTTGACAGGTGTAATATATGTAGATGGCATGGCAGTGTCTGTATTTAGTGGGTAGTTTGTATTGACTGTGTTTAAGAGATAAAGTCTCTCAAAGGACTTAGACCACTGTATTGTTGTTGTTGGGCTACAATTTTGGTTTGATCCAGAATTTTATCAACAATAATATAAATATTTGATAACCAACCATATATAAAACTAATGTAAAGGGATGAGAGTTTAGAATCACCCCTGCAAAGCATTATAATTGTGATGCATTGCTATAAGTTCAGAAATAACATTTTCTTTTAATTGCATTCAGTTCTGTGCTGATAGGAAACTGCATTTTCCAGTAGTAACCATTAAAATAAAAGTGTATGGAACTAAATGAGGTAAACATGGAAAACAATGAGAGCACAGAAGTATGCACTGTAGAGCCCAGACAACCCCACTGGGTGCTTTACAACAATAAAAGAATCAGACAAAAAATATGTACACAAACATACCTCAACAGTTCTTAGTTCATTAAGAAGAGATTCTGATGGATTGGTTATTGTCAGGACAATGTGGCTCCGCTGAGAAACAGAAAGGATAGAATCATAATAAACATTTCGTAAATGAACAATGCTTAAGGAAAAGCAAGGCAATAAAAATGGTTAAACCCAAATAAAGGCTCACATAGCTATCAACAAGCTTCTGAAGCTCAAGCTGCACACTTCCAAGCATCCCCAAAACTTTACCTGCATACAGTTCATAACAACTATAACAATTAGACTATACATGGAAATAGACTAAACGGCCAGTCATCAAATGTTTAACCACTCACCACTTTCTTCATCATCATTTAAGGAAGTTTTCTCCAGAAGACAAGTACCCATTTCCTGCAGCGACTCAGCAAATTCTGGAACACATGACACATAAAAGGATATGCTACCGACTTTAATAATTTCAAGGCAAAACTCATCTTAAAAACTAACTAGAAAAAGAAAAATTCAAATGATCAGTAAATATTATTATGTATATAGGCGGTAAGAAATATGATATCCTAGAGGGGAGACCATGATATTTTCAAATACATCAGTGATGCTATCTCAGTGAGATAATGTCACAATAATTGAAAGGTTGTCACAACACAACAATGTCAATAAGAATACGAATGTATGCCGAGGGTAGGTGTGCAAGTTCAGCACTAATGAAATGAATTGTATTACCCTATTTAGGAATTGGACAGGAATGATAGACTTTATAGATTAAATCAAATTTTGCTAAGAGAAAGAATTGAGCAGAAGAAAGTGTAAAATGCAATCTGATTATTAGATTATAAATTACAGAGAGATGGAATATTATATACCTAGGCTATGTGACTCACTGCTGAGTCAACAAAATCTAAATCGTAACACAAAAGCTAATTCTATTACAATGAAACAAAACAAGAATACAAATGAATGAACGTGTATATCTACTATGGACAGTGCAGAAGACCAGCCAGGGATGAACTACAGCAACTCAAAATGTAAACATGTATCTTAAATTGTTGGCGACATTATTGTTGGAAACAATATATATGACAAGTAAATGAAATTTGTGTGTAGTTTTAATTTGTGACCTAAACAATTTGGACACATAACAAAACGTAGAAGCAGTTCAAAAGGTTGGGATACATTACAAGTGATGAATAAAGAGAACATCATGAGGCATTAACCAAGTGTGAAGACTAATGTTTACCGTAAGCACTGTTTTGTGTAGCAGCAGCTGCAGAAAGCAAGCTATCATAGCAATCTCTCATATCTTGCATGTCCTGAAAAAGAGGGGGGGAAAACCCTTAATGGCACTATAACGAGCAAACCAGGGGCACGAGATCGTTTAACATTTTTCACAAAATCCCCATTGTCACACACTTTTTTCACACCCTAAACCTGTAAACTACAACTACGAGAAAACGAATCAAAGACAGCTCCAAAAGAACCAATTTCCCATCGGAAAAACACACTGTCCACGTGTCATCTCTAGAACAAAACCCCCTACTTCCATCACTGACAACAACCGATCATCGCGCGACAGAACACGACAATTGAAAAAGGGACACAACAAGGCGCAACCAAGAAAATATTTACCTCTCCGACAATGATAATGATAATAATTATAGTAATAAGGTTGAGAAATCAAGGTAGAGTGGGGGAAGAACCTTGGCAGCAAGAGCGAGTTCGTCGAACTTAACGGTGGGGTGAAAGTCTCTTTTGTCCTTGGAAACGGTCTTGGGAAGTGCAATTTTCTTCAGCTTGCTGAGCGAGGACTTCATTTTGCACCCTAAGGGGGAGGAAGGAGGAAAGAGGGTTTGTATTGTGCTTATGTTTGGGTGGGAATTGAGGAAGAATCTCAAGGGAGAAAGAGAGAAGAAAAGTGTGGGAATGGATTGAGGAGAGTGAAAGACATTGAAGGAGAAGGGGGAAGGTGGGTCAAAAGAAGTGAAGGAAAGGGAAGCGAGGCAGATCAGACAGCAAGAGAGAGAGAGAGAGAGAGAGAGAGAGATGCGAAATGAGGAAACGAGAGACGCATCAGTCCAACGTCACGCCCCTAAGCCTAAGCCCAGAACCCCGCACGTTTCCACACCTCACTACACGTGTGTGTGCTGCTCACAACCTACTTTCCTCATTTATGTTTTTCTGAAACTACAATTTTATTCCACAGCTTTTTAAAATAAATTCAATTGACTAGTACTCTTCACTTTTAAGAAAGTATTAATTTTTGTTCCTAATTTATACTATTTTGCTAAAACTACACCCTTAATTCACGTTTTTATTACAATAATTGACCAATGTTCTTACTTTTAAGAAAGTATTAACATTTCCAAAATAATTACTCTTTCTCTTCTTAGTAAAATAGTGTATTTATTAAGAGTCAAAGATTTTTTAATAAAATTATTTAAATACTTTTTTAAAATTTAATTATTATTGGATAAAAGAATATAAAATTAGAAAAATGTCAATTTCTTGTTGTGATGCCATAAGGAACTATAATCATGGTTAGAATCTATGATAATGGTAAGTTTAGTAGTTATGTGAAATCAAAATAACAATTTGTAAAAGGAACATTAAACACTCACATTTCATAAAGAGCCATTAGTTATCAAATACACCATATCACACATGTCATGAGTTACAACTTACCATAAGAGTAAGTTTTTAAAAATAGTCCATGTACGGTGACATCATACCATATAAATGTACAGACCAAAAGATATTAACGTACCCATAATGTATGCATAAAAAGAATGTCTTTTTGAAATTGTCGAAATTAGTAAATTATTAAACAAATAAAAATTAGTAGCATCATATTTTAAATACATTTTCATTTTAAATCAAAATAAAATAACATACTAATAATAAATTTATTATTATTAAAACTAATAATAAAAAAAATCATAACAATTTTACTTTAATTTTTTTAAAAATTAAAATTATATTTACAAACATCATTATTTAAAATGAAATCATATTTATTAATATAATTACTATTTTCATTTTTATTTTTAAGTTTTACCTATTTTACTAATTAAATATATATAAAGAGAGGAGGTTAGAATAACTTTGTAAGAGTAGAAAATTTTAGAAAGGCTTAAGATATGAGTTGCAAAGCGATGGTAGTGTCTGGCCATCAAAAAGTTTGTTATTTTTTTAGAAAAAAAATCAACATAATTAAAATACTCAAAATAGCAAAAGTAAGATGATTAAGATTTCGGATGTTTGGTTTTTTAATGAAAAAGTAGAGATTATCAAAAAAAGTCTTATTATAACACAAACATGAATAGCAGTGGAATGAAGTGAAGTGCTTTAGTGTAGAAGATTACATTTGTGATCTTGACACCGATTGAAGTAAGTAGTAAGTAGTACCATGGTTATCAAACTCGCGAGTCAATTCGTTGATTCATATGAGTTAGTGAGTCAAATAATTGGGTACGAGTTAACTCGTGAGTAAACTCGTTTTAGAGTAAATTTGGAGTCAAACTCGGTGGACTATGAATAAAGTCGCAAGTTAGAGGTGAGTCATCGAGTTTGAAGAAAAAGAAAAAATTGGATCTTTTTCGACTCTCTTCATTTCTTCTCACAATTTCAGATCTTACTCATTTCCACTGTTCGTCGCTGTTTATCGTCGTCGGTGGTTGTTGTTGTCGTGTGCTTGCCCTTAGTCACGCGACGATCACGCGATGCTCGCTTGGGTCGTGCAGTGGTTGTGCGATGGTCACCGCGACATTCACTTGGGTCGCACAATGGTCGTGCTCACTACAGTTGCTCGTCGCTGCTCACCACCCTCTAGGTTAGATTGAGGAATTTGAAATTTTAGGGTTTTCGAATATATGGGACAGGTTAGATTGAGAGATTGAATGATTTAAGATTTGAGGGTTTCAAATAGATTGAGATATTTTAGACATTCATAATTTTTATTTTTTTATTTTGATTATACTATTGTACAAATTTAATTAATTTTTTATTATTATTTTAATAATGAGGAATTAATATTATTATATTTATTATTAAATTAGTATTTTTCATATGAAATAAACTCTTATAAGTCTACGAGTTGAGTTTATCGACCTCTCACGAGTACTAAGCAAATGAGAAACATTTTAGTGATGCAAAGATCTTAGATGTATTCTCTAATGAAGTTTTAGAGATGAGTGGAGTTTGCGATTTACTTAATTCCAAGAGTATGACCAATATCTATAACTCCTTATTGGATAACTCCAGTTGAGTTAACATAATTAAATAATCTAGTTAAATATTTGCTAGAGAAATAATTTATTAGATTAAGTGTCTCACGAGGAGCACTTGTAATAGGATCAAATATATAAAGAAGATAGATAAAAACTTCAATTGATTATAGGAAGTTGAGTAAATTATTCATTAAGAACAAATATCTTTTATCAATAGGGACCTATTTGATTAGTTGCATGGAGTAATAAATATTATCGAAGATTGACTTACGATCAAAATATCGTCATATTATGTTGAAAGATGAAAATGATCATTATGAACATGTGGTGATGCTACTTAGAGTCAAATTCTCTAACTATATCTGTGGATTATATGAATAGAATATTCATTCTGTTCTTGGATAAGACCAACGTAGTTTTTATGACAGCATTCTTATCTACTCACCTACATAGGAGGACAATCTTAGGTATTTTGAGAGACAAACAATTATATATCACACTATTGAAATGTGAGTTTTGGATGGATAAAGTGTAATTAATAAGGCATGTGATTCAACATAGTGGATATTTATGGACCCTACAAAGGTTGAAGTAGTCTTATAGTGGGGGTATCCTAAGATAATGATGAATGCATTAAGGGTATAAACAAATTTAGAATTTTAATTATAATTTTTGGATTTTAATTTTTTGTACTATGCCTTTATTGGGCCTTGATGTATTTTTATAATTTTGTAATTAGAGACATTTTAGATATCAGTTTCTATTAAAAATTAGAAGACTCACTTAAAAATTAGAAGACTTATTAGATGAATCTAATTAGAAATGAGTCTTGAGTCTTAAAATTATATTATATAAAAACTCTTTGTATAGTATAATTCATATAATTTAGATTTGAAGTTTAGGCTTTGTGAGATAAATTATCTTTTATTTGAGTTTTTTATTCTTATCTTTGAATTTTCATATTTAAAGTGGCGAATTTTCTTTAAATTATCAATCTAGATTGTGATGTTATCGACTTATCAACCTTGATTGTAACATTCTTAACTTATTTATTTGTATTTTCTATTTTTTTTATAAGTGAAAATCATCCAAAAATGGTAAATCATTCATCAAATAATGACAAAGATTAGAAGTTTTGTGGACTTAGCAACTTACTAAAGAAAATTCATAAAAGGATTATCCAAGATAATAACACCACGCAATTAACTCATAAGGATCAACATTTCCGTTAATCAAATCAGTACATGCAGAGTTTTTCAAAGTTGAAGCAAAGGATGATTAATTATTCGATGTTGGATATATTAAATCCAAATAAACCTATGGAGGTTTATTATGAAGCCTCATATGAGGGATTGAGCTATGTTTTGATGTTAGAAAAGCAAGTTTTCACATATGCATCTTAATGATTAAATACTCATTTGAAGAAGTAATCCACCCATCACTTGGAGTTGGTAATTATGGTCTTTGCTCTATAAATGTAGAGACATTTTTTTTATGGTGCCTGATTTGAAGTGATGGATAGAGTTTCTAAAAAATTATGATTTTCAATTAAACTAACTTATAAAGAAAGTAAATATGATAATGCTTTAAGCATAAAGACAATACAAATTAACTATGATGATTGAAGAATTGAGATTAATAAAATAATTCAAAGATCTAAATATGAGAGTGGAGTTATCTTTAAAAGGTATTAGTTGTAGTGTGATTATTATAACTAATGGTTTTATTGAAATGATTAAGGAAAAATAGAGAATAGATTCAAGTTTGAGAAGTACCATGGACTTACTAAATACAGATAAAGCTAAAGATTTTAAATTAGGATAAAATGGTGTACGGAGATTCAAAAGTCAAGTGTGCATTCTTGCTAACAGGAAATTAAAGAAGATAATTCTAAACGAGGATCACAAGAATGTGCTTAATTAATATTAGGATTGTTAAAACGAACTATTTAACTTAGTCTAAGTTGACCTTATAAGTAAAAAAAAATTGATATTCAAACAATTTAATAGTTCTATTTTGAATTGATTGAAATAATAAAAAAAATATAACATGCTTATATATATAAAAAAATATATCCAAAAATATTAAGTAAAAAAAAGTTATATTAATTACATTAATTTTTATTTTAAATATAATTATTTGATATATAAATTATAAATTATTTGATATATACATTTATGTCACCATACTTAATTAATCACAAAGATCAATCATAAGAAAATATACGATTATCTTTAACTAGACCATTATTTAGTCATCGTCAATTATATGTAGTAGTTTCATGAGTAAACAAATGGAATTTAAAGATATTAATAGACAACAAATCATTAAAAACAGCTACCAATATAATATTAAAAAAATCAAAATCTATAACTGGTCTCTTTAAATATATTTTGAACTATAAATTTATTTAAAAATGTAGATTTATGATTAATATCTAATTTTACTAATGTAGATTTATGATTTGATTTTAATATATTGGACAAACTAAAAAATGCATTACCTTATTTATTATGTGTTTTTTTTAATCTACATCGGTGTTAATATCTGTTTTTAAGTTCATCTATATTTTTAATCAAATATGATAT